ATCGGTTGGAGCTACCTGCATAGTTGAGCTAGATTCATAACACCTTCCACGTGTCCCAGTTGAGGAAGTGTGTAGCCGATGAGACGACAGTGGTACCCTTAGAGGACATTCAGGTGGATGCTAGCCTGAATTACATTGAAAGACCGATAGCAATTTTGGATAGAAAAGTTAAGACCCTGAGGAACAAGAAGGTACGACTGGTTAAGGTGCAGTGGGAGCAGCGCAGGGGATCCGAGTGGACTTGGGAGCCGGAGTCCGAGATGCGCGAGTAGTACCCAGAGTTGTTTCCGGAGCATGACTTCGAGGGCGAAGTCTGATTCTAGTGGGGGAGAATTGTAACATCCCGACCACCAGGTATAATATTTATTTATTTAGTTATATTTTTAGGGATCACTGAGTGACTCGCCGAGTTGGATGCCCAACTCGTCGAGTAGAGACGGGTTGGCCACGTGGGTTTAATGACCAACTCGATGAGTCAGAGAGCCGACTCGCCGAGTTGGCGTTGTGTGAGGAAACCCTAAATCTCCAGGTTTGTGTCCTATTTAAAGGGCCTTAAGCCCTCATTTCCGCCTCACCAGCCACCCTATTCCCCTGTATGAAACCCTAATCGTGTTAGTGAGCTAAGAGAGAAAGAGAGAGGCTAATCTTGTGGTTTTAGTGCACTTTTGGAGGAGAAGTGAGGTGCAACAAAGCTTGGATCAAGAGGAGGCTTTTGGATCCAGAGATTCTTCAGAGATTTGCTTCAGTTGGAGGTAAAAAGATGCTAATGTGATCATTTCCTTATGAGATCTTGGTTTAGGGATTTTCTAGGGTTTTCTCCCATCCATATTGTGCCATTGAGTCATTTGAGCATGGTTTGAGGTTGGAACGTCAGATCTGGACTGTAGGAGGCCTTGTGAGTCCAAAGACCCAAGCTTTATTGAGCTAGAGGCAAGCTCTTGTGCATCTAACCCTTGTTGGAGCTTGTATTGGCATTATGAGCCTAATATTGCCATGCATGGAGGTAAAAAGATGCTAATGTGATCATTTCCTTATGAGATATTGGTTTAGCGAGTTTCTAGGGTTTTCTCCCATCTATATTGTGCCATTGAGTCATTTGAGCATGGTTTGAGGTTGGAACCTCAGATCTGGACTGTAGGAGGCCTTGTGAGTCCAAAGACTAGAGCTTTATTGAGCTAGAGGCAAGCTCTTGTGCATCTAACCCTTGTTGGAGCTTGTATTAGCATTATGAGCCTAATATGCCATGCATGAACGTAAAGCTTGCAACTTTACGTGACATTCGAGCCTTGGGATGCTAGATCTAGAGTTTGGAGTGGTAGATCTGCTTTTGAACGTCTGAATGAGAATATAACCCGAATGGACTCGCCGAGTCAATGAGCTGACTCGACGAGTCGGCTAGGGTTTTCCCCGATGAGTCTGGACATGAGTAACTCGGCGAGTTGATGAGACAACTCGACAAGTTAGGTCTGGTTTTCGCGACTTTTCTGAAGGAACAAGGGGACTCGGCGGGTCACATAGGTGCACTCGACGAGTCGGGTCAATATGAACTATTGACTCAAGTTTTGACTTCTGTTGACTTTAGGGTTTGGTCAAGACATGGATTATTGAGCCCATGGAGGGGTAGAATGGTCTTTTACCCATTCCAAGAGTTAGAGAGAGAGAATAGCCTTTAGTTATTTAGAGTTGTGATTGAAGTGTTAATTAGAGATAATTATCGTATGTGTTAGGCGGAGGCTAGATCGGTGTTTCCTGTACGAGATTCATTTGCTTGCTTACGAGGTGAGTCTTCTCACTATACTTACTTTGAGGGGTAATTTGTGTGACCGGAGGGTCTTGTATGCTATTATTGAGTATTGTGATATCATGCATTATGTATTTGTGATTTATGTTGTGTATTATTCTGAGCTTACCGAGTTAGGACCGGAGGGTCCACCCGGGTTGTGGGACCGGAGGGTCCCACTAAGACACATTGACCGGAGGGTCTTATTATTTCCATGAGAGGCTAATGAGATATGTGTGGTATTTTGGGGAGCTCACTAAGCTTCGTGCTTACTGAGTTATGTGATATGTGTTTCAGGTACTTCTTAGGATCGCGGGAAGGTGCCGACTTGATTGTACACACACTTGAGATGGAGTTTATGTTTTGTGGATCTTGGATTTTATCAAAACGATTTATGATATTTGTGTTTTGACAATTTGACACTTGTGGTTTTTGGAATGTGATAATGAGAATTATTTGTTTTAAAAACGAAAAATTTGTTTGAAAATTTACGGTGTTACACAAAGGAATCTTCTACGAATATTCTCCAACAATTCAATAATGGAATTAGGGGCCTTAAATATCAAAAAATAAAACAGAGGCATGCTGCCAATAACCGACTTAACCAAAGTCAATTTTCCTCCAAAAGAGAGGGTCTTGGATTTCCAACCTGAAAGCTTACCTTGGACCCTATCAATAACTCGTTTCCAATTTCATTTGAGATTCATGTTATCCCCAACGGGAACCCCAAGATAGATAAATGGGAGACTGGCAGCCTCACACCCCATAATATTGGCGCAACTAACAACATCATAATTGGCAATTCCCATCCCATAAACCTTTGAGTTGTGAAAGCTAACATTTAAACCAAACACCACATGAAAACGTTTAAGGATTCTAGAAAGGTTATTGAAGTTTGAGAGGGACGAGTCACCCACATATAAAACATCATCCGCGTAAAACAAATGAGAGATGGAGGGAAAGTTGTTTGGAAAAGTAATACCCGAATATAAGGAATTTTGGACCGCCGATCGCATAGCGACATTAAGACCTTCCATAGCAATAATGAAGAGAAAAGGTGATAGGGGATCACCTTGACAAATACCTTTAGTAATGGGGAATTCATTTGTAGGAACACCGTTGATGAGAATGGACGCCCTAGAAGAAGCAAGGCAACCACGGATCAAAAAACTCCATCTATTTCCAAAGCCCATTTGATACATCACCAATCCAAATAATTCCAATTTATGGAATCGAAGTATTTATCAAAATATACTTTAAAAAGTAAGGTGCCTTTTTTAGAGTGTTTGGCCCAGCTGCATATTTCGTTTAAGATCATGGGACCATCCAAAATGTTACGACCTTCAATGAAGCCCGTTTTCACTTCATCAATCACATTTCCTATCACGCGCTTTATTCTGGCAGCAAGGATCTTGGCGATAATCTTATGAAGGATGCAAATCAAGCTAATGGGTCGATAGTCATTGAGGGTAAGTGGATCCTTCACCTTAGGAACGAGAGTGATAAAAGAGGCGTTGCAACCTCTAGCTATTCTGCCACCGGCTTCGAAGTACTTAACAAAGTTCATTATGTCATCCTTCATCATGCCCCAATATCGTTTGAAAAATTTAAAAGAATAACCGTCCGTCCCTAGCGCCTTTTCACCCCCACAACTCCAAATAACATCTTTAACCTCTTCCATAGTGAAGTCTTGTTCCATGAATTGAGAATCAACCGGATTTAGTTTTTTGAAATTTTCATTCAGAAGAAGAGGCCGAACAGTATGGGACTCATGAAACTTCTCACTAAAAAATCTACAAGTTTCCTCCTTGATGGTATTAGCATCTGTAACCCAAGAACAGTTCACCATTAAGCCATGAATACTACATCTCCTGTATAATATCTTCAACGAGCTATGAAAAAATTTAGAGTTCTCGTCGCCATCAACGAGCCACTTAACTTTAGCCTTTTGCTGTAAATCAAGTTTAGCAAGCTTTTCTAATTCCAAAATCTTATGCCGATAATCTCTTAGAGATTTAATCTCCTGATCCGAAAGGAGCCTCGTCTCGGCAGCCATATCAAGGTTATTAACCTTTGTTTTGAGGTCATGGAGGATCTTATTTTCCTTTTCGAACTCCACCCTTCTTTAGTCTTTGATGACAATTTTGACCGTCTTCAAATTTCGAAGGAGGAGCTTGTCAGGTCACCCACCTCCCCTGAAATCAGACCAAACCTTGACAACCACATCATCAATACATGCACGGAGAAGCCATGAGTTGTAGAAACGAAATGGGGGAGGCCCAAAGTCAATGTAGTTGGTTTGAAGAATGACATGAGAGTGATCCGAAAATTCCCTGGGGAGCGCAAGAGTAGAGGCAGAGGGAAAAGAATTCATGAAGTTGGGGCGCACAAGCACCCGATCTAATTTACTCAGTTTAAACCCGTTATCGCAGAAGTAGGTAAATCGTCTACCCCCATATTAAGGTCAAGAAGGCTCGCCTCATGAATAAACTTATTAAAGGCAGCGGCAGTATAAGGGCAGAAGATTGAATTGAATCTTTCATCCGGTTTACGAACCACATTAAAATCTCCAAAGATCACCCAAGTAAATCATCCCACGTCAACTTAAGTAAATCATCCCACATCAAATTTTTTTCTCCCAAATCTTAAGGGGCGTAAACATCAACAACAATAGTTTCACCTATAATACCATTACAGTACCCCACAATAGCGAGAAAATGACGGTTCTTGATGCTAGCAATTTATGTAAGAAATTATTATCCCAAAAACTAACCACTCCCCCAGAAAAATCGGAGGACCCCATCCACTCAAAATCAAAATCACTTGATCCCCAACATTGCTCGATTACAGAACTGGAAACAATTGTGACCCTAGTTTCCTGAATACCAAAAAAGATTAACTTGTGCTCTCTTCTCATCCGCTTCACCCAATCAAGTTTGTGGGAATTACCCACACCCCTAATGTTGAGAGACATCAAATTCATTGAACAATCATTTTACCTCCATGACCGTAGTAGGCCCTCTCAAAGGCATTGTTCCCTTCTGCAATTTGAAAACCCAATTGATTCCCAACTTCGATAATGCGATCATGTTCGGAGATGGAAAAGGAAGAAGCCTCCTTGCCGATATCATGTTCATCCATAAGAGGGGGACGAGCGTCTTTGTTAAGATCAATAGAATGTGAGGAAGATGGGAGGGGATTGTGCGAATTCTGGATATCCTTAATACTGAATTCTTTGGGGATTTTTTTTCTTTGTACGATGCCGTTTGAAAGTAGAACCACCCAACTGAAAATCTGGGCTACTAGTTTCCCTCCTGGACCCAGGACCCAAAATAGGCCCAACCGAAGCAATAGGAATGGGAGAAGAGACATTTGGGACCACATGTATTCCATCATCTAAATAAACCCCATTGACGTAAACATGTACATGGGAAGGAGATGCTTTAATATCGTTCCCATGCGAGGCCGAATTCCCATGCAACTCCTCCTCTCCCCTAGTAAACGACGAATCAACACCCATCGATGGTTCATCTTCCGCCACCGCTTCAGTCAGAATTTCACCCTCCTCCAGCCCCATGTTAACGGAAGAATCTCCGTCACTTGAATCATCGTCATCCCCAATTTCCGACTCAGATTGATAATTATGGTTAAAAGGTTTGAATGGAAACCACTCATCATCCAACTCGGTGACACCAATTGAGTAATTAACTCCTCCGACATTAACCATGACTTCATCGTTAATTTTTCGCCTTGATGCGGACAGAACACAAACCTTCCCATGCGAGACATCTGCAGAGTTCCAAAAGGGGGGGAGCTTTAACAAGGATTTTACCAAAATTACCAGCTATCATGCTAAATATCTCCTCTCCCCAAGCTTCAACAGGGACCCCCGTGATTTTTAGCCAAGCAATCCGTTCAAAACGGAGAGGTGATTTACCGGCAACTTCTAACCCCATGAACCACTTCATCCAAATGCTTTTATTCGCCCTAAACATCTCAGCCGCCTTATTGGATTTAAACTTCATGATAACATACATACCACCAAGGTATTTGATATCTTCCACCTAGAAACCCTTCATGTTAATCAGCGAGGGGAAGTTACAGAGAATATCAAAGCTTCGAACATTCCCCACCAACACCTCTTTACCAATCCAATCCAAGATTTTATCACATTTGTTTAGGTTAATTACCAAAGACATAGGCGACTTCTCCTCACTCTGTAACGACCCTTTCAGCACATCAGCAAATGATTTGTTATCCCTCGGCCTGAAAACAGAGTGAGAGGTAAGGTTCTTTTGCCCATACGGGGCCGCAACTTTACCAGCCGACGACGGAGGTTTCCGAGGGTGCTTGGAGACGTTAGCCCTAATCTTCTTCCCCCACATTGTTACACCGTTCAGCGCCGCTTCCATCGCAATAATATTGTTTACTCTTCGATACTTGACAAACGCAAAATAAGAGCCACCTGCATCCCTCCTACCCGCCAGATACACGTCTGCCAAGTCTCCAAGTTTCGCGCATGGTTTCCAAATCTCGGATTTCCTGATTCCACCTGGAATATTAGTTACATAAAAGGAAGTGATGTCCTCAAGCTCTCCGACAACGATGTTCTTACGCCGCCTTACTTCAACCCATTCGCTTTCATTTCCGGCCATTCCGATTCCACTCGTCAGAAATAACGTATGTTTTGTCATTTGATTGATTTGTTTGGAAATAGCTTATTCATACGATCACTTTGCATAGAAGAAATGTGGTGGTTTCAATATCTGAGCCCCTCGTTTTTTAAGCTGGCATTGATGGGATTTTCTCGATAGAGGCTCTCCAAATGAGACATTAGATCTTTAAGGGTATCCAACTATACCATTGCATCTGATTGGGTTCTGTGATAAATTTTCTCATCAATTATTGAAACACCCCACAATACACACTAATTTAATTAATCAATTTCAAACAATTTTCAATGTTTTTGAACTTGCATTTTTTTGAACTGCTAACACACATTAAATCCTACTCTTAAACTACTCCATTGTACACAACGAGATTTGAACCCTTAATCCCTTAGGGGAGGGACACCTCTCTAGCACATTGGTACCACTAGGCCAAATGCCATTTGGTCTTAACTTGGAGATAAATGTCAAGTATTAAAATGTCAAATCATACGAATGTATAGCATGTTGAACAAGAGATACTAGTTTAAGTAAGCAATATTTCATACCTTAACACCCTGTTCCCGAGTTCAACTTAACGAGAGAAAATAAAGGAAATGAGAAAAAATAAAAGAAATTGGTGTTCCCGAGTTTCATTAAAGGAAAGAAATGGAGGAAAATGGAAGGATCACTTTCCCTCCTAACTTTCCTTCCGATTTGAAAGGATTTGGAATGTTCCTTCCACTTCTCTCCAACTCATTTTTCCTTTCATTTCTCTTCTTTTCTCTCCTGATTTTTTTTTCTTTTTTTTTTCTCAACATTCAATGTCACTAAAAAGCAACGACCAACCTGAACACACATAATACCATCCACATTGGTTTTGCAAGTGGTCTTGCAAATGGGGACCATTTTAAAAAAAAATGTTAGTATTATATTGATGTGGGGTTAAATTTCAAAGTTGACGTGTTATGTTTGAATGACCATCGGCATTGCATCGGTGTGGATGACCTAAAATTAGTAGGTTAAGTTTGGAAAGCCTAGTGACTTAATTTTAGGATTTGACATTATGTGTATAGAATATTAATGAGCATAAGATTTACATATAATTGTAACCAACCCATACCTCAACAATGTTGACTTCGAAAAAGAAACACCTTATGCTTTTCAAAGTTGACTTTGAAAAGGCTTACGACTCCCTTTCGTGAGATTATTTATTGGAAATTATGGATATTATTAGGGATGAGCGTAGGCGAGTATCCGCCCTAATTATCTGGAACCAGAACTAATGGTTCCTAAAATGTTGGAACCGGAACCGAAACCGGCTGGTAGCGGTTCCAGTACCAGGTACTCGGTTCGTTAAATTTGTTGAATTTTTAAAACTTATAAAAGTATATCTATTGTAAACTTACAAAAAGTTAATGATAACATTAATATGTAATTCGCTACGTATTAAAAATAAGGATTAGAAAATATCAGTAGCTTGAATAATATGACAAAAAAATATGTGTATGTTTCTTAAAACCTTTAACGGTTCAAAATAATTTACTCAAAGTTCTAGAATTTTAAATGATGTAATTCAATATAACGTATAAAGTGTGTGATTGTGATATATATATATATATATATATATATATAATATATATATATATATATATATATATATATATATATATATATATATATATCGGTTCCGGTGCGTACCCAACATGTAGCGGTTCTATAAAAATAAGAACCGGAACCGGAACCGCTTTAGGCGGTTTGCGATTCCGAAATGGCGGTTCCGGTTCCGAAAGTAGGTACCAAATTCCACTGCTCATCCCTAGATATTATGGGTTTTAGGAGTAAGTGGTGTAGTTGGATTAGTGTTGCTCTTGTTTCTGCTCAGGCTTCGGTTCTGGTTAATGGCTCGCCTACATATGAGTTTGATATCCATATAGGTCTTTATTAGAGGGGTCCTCTTTCTACATTCTTGTTTATTCTTGCAATGGAGGGTCTCCATGTTGCTCTGTTCCAGGCTGAAGAGAATAGGGTGTTTTTAGGTTTTGATGTTGGTTCAAATCTTGTTCATATTTCTCATCTTTTTTTATGCGGATGATGCAGTTTTTCCTTGTGGATAGGACCTAGAGAATGTTAGAAGGACCATTCGTATTCTAAGATGTTTCTTTTTTGCCTTTGGTTTGCATATTAATCTCATAAAATGCAAGTTGATTGGTGTTGGAGTTCCTAGTCCTCAAGTCGAAGCTGCAACTATTATGATTGGCTGTGCTTCCATTCGGCTTCCTTTTGTTCACTTGGGTCAGATTATATGCCAAAATATGTCCATAATTGATTCTTGGTCTTCAATTGTTGAGACGTTCAAGTCTAAGCTTTCTTCTTGGAAAGCTAAGACTTTGTCGATTTAGGGTAGACTCACTTTGCTTAAAGCAATGTTGGGCAGTATTGGTACTTATTGTATGTCCATTTTCCTAGTTCCAATGGAGGTCATAAAATTACTTGAATCTTTGTGAGCTTCTTTCTTTTAGGGAAAAGATTCGGGGGATAAAAAATTGCATCGGGTTAGGTGGGATAAAGTTATGGCTAGTAAAGAAGAAGGTGGGTTGGGAGTCGGTAGCCTTTTTGCTTTGAACTGGTCTTTGGTTTTTAAATGGAGATGGCGTTATTTTCATTGTTCGGAGTCAATATGGGTGAAGGTTGTTGATTCTATTCATGGTTTCGGTCCCACTTCTGCTAGGAGTTCAGTTTCTTCTTCTTTATTGCCTTGGGCTGGAGTTATCAAGGTGGTTGATAAGTTGAAGGCTAAAGGGTTGGATTTGATTCCTTTTTGTCCTATTCGAGTTCATGATGGGAAGACTATTCATTTTTGGTTGGATGTTTGGTCGGGAGATAACTCCTTAGCATGTACTTTCCATCGTATATATGCCCTTGATTTATGCAAGGATGTTACAGTTAATGACAAATTGGATGTGGATGTTTTTACTTCTTCACTTCGCAGGTTACCTAGAGGAGGCATGGAAGATACGCAATGGAATTATCTTTTATCAGTTCTTAGTCTGGTTAGTATATCTCCTTCTCCTAATTGGCTTGGTTGGTCCTTGGAGCCGTCTAATGAGTACACATTTTCTTCGGCCCGGTCTTTTTATGATGATGGTTATTTGATGTGTGGAGATATATCTACGAGATGGAATTCTTGGGTTCCTATAAAAGTTAATGTTTTGATGTGGAGAATCAGACTACAAAGAATCTCGACGAGAGAGAACTTATCAGCTGTCACACCCCAAAACCGGAACGGCAGAAACGTTCTGGGGTGGAGGACGTCATGTCAAGTATCACAACACATGCAGTATAGTAATCAAAGTACAACAACCACTGCATTAATAGTATAAGTTTTTACATAGGTTACATTTAGCAACAACATCAAAAGTAGATATAGAGAATAACATAAGATGCAGCTCGGTACAAGGCTGACTTCGCAAAAGCTCCCGGAGTGTACCTGTCTACTGACGACCTGAGAATACAAGTTATTTTGAAAGAGAGGATCAACATTTTATTGCTGGTGAGTTCATGAGTATTTTAATGACATTGATAATAATACATGTTTTTCCCCAAAATAATCTCATTAGATGATGGTGATAAAAGTTTATAAAGTATTTGAATTCCTTCCAGAAAATCCTATATTTTCTATTAAAAGTAGTCTTCTACCAAGACTCGACTGTTTCATGTTTAAAAGAATGAGTCTCTTTACTAAAAGCAGTCTTCTACCAAGACCCGACTGTTTTGTGTTTAAAGAGCATTTTTCCCAATGTTACTATCATTATCAAAATATAGTTTTACATTATCGTTTTATGTCAAAAACGTTCTAAGTTTAATGTATTAGGGAAAATATTATAGTACCGTAGTTTTATATGTAGAAACTACCGTGGTACTAATTACCTTAAGGTCATGAATTATAAGGTAAATGTGAAGATACTCATAACCATACTGACTGACGGATCTAAACACGACGACCTGCTGGCGTCGAAATAAATGTGACATTTGTCATCCCTTGGCTTGGTCGGCCGGGACTGTAGCTAGCAGTCAGGATGTGGGATGGTCTGTCCCGTATAGATCTATACACACAATGCCCGCTCTCCCTCCAGGAGACTCTGGTTACCAACTCGACAACGGTGAAATCCACGTCATGAGGATGTATCTCGTGTTTTGATTGCTATATACGTTTCTTTTTACTAAAAGTACATGTTTTAGAATATTGATATAGCTAGTTTCTCCTCATAAGAGTTATTATTGGTTCCTAAACTATACTTATTTTAGTTTACTTGAGAGGTTATCTAGGTACCTTTGCTACCCAAAGGCGCTGAACTGGAGTAAGAGTTTTAATATCTAAACAGATATACATAATATATAACTAGGACTTCAACGACACTCGGACAAATAACTGGATACTCTAAGTCCACAACCAAACAAGGAACAGGAAATAAAGCGGGCTATCAGTCCTAAGTCCTTCAAACCCTACTTATATAACTATATCTATATAGACATGAATCTAACAAGAATATAAGTTTAAAAGACTTTGATAAAAGTTTAGTAATTTAAAAAGAGATTATAGTACTTTAAAAGAGATTTGAAAGTAATATATGAAAACCTTTAGCTGAATAAAACAGTTTAACATGCAAAAATCTATTTGATTGACAGTTATTAATCACATGTGATTGATATAATAACTTAATAGTTCAACTTGTATTCCCCCCCCCCCCCCCATAAAATCATTTAAAATCATTTCAAAGGTCGATTAAGGGGTATGAACTCACCTGTAGTGAGTGGTTTGGATGAAAGTGTTGGACAAGGTGCTAGGTGTCAAGTGAAGACTTGAACACACACAATGTTCCTATTTAACATATAAAGACATATATATATATATATATATATATATATATATATATATATATATATATATATATATATATATATATATATATATATGTATCTAATTAGTGATTATAACACTAATTAAG